ATACTTTAGCTTGCGATCTATACATATCTATTTATACTACTCTCAACCTTCCTTCAACTTGTTTGCACTATAAATTTCCTAAAGTTATTCTGGAACATCAAGCGAGACACCACATTGTCTCTAACTCGTCTTTACTCCCTTAACTAGACCTCTAGATACTTAGAAACCATGGGCTATAAGGTATGTCACTAATGACACTGCTATTATTCTTGGATACTGGATCTCGACACTTCTAACCCTCTATCTAAAGTACGAATTATTCATAACCTTCTGCTTTTGAGTATCTCGTGCGTTGTCCACCTTTACCTTACTTTCCTTAATGCCTCACATCACATCTTCTATCTCTTTCATGACCTTCCCTTCACATAGGTATAATTCACATCCACATCTTGAAATTCTATTATAATACATGCACCTCTTTACACAATCTCATGAGAGCTTCATACTAACTTCTTATGAGGTTAGGACACTTCTAACTGGCTTTATCGTAGAGTCGTTATAGAATATGGCTACTGTACTATCTCTATTGTAACTCTAATAATAATTGTGATTATACAATGTTCCCAATCATGATGTCTGTAACTTTCTGGGTCCAATAAGCAGACTCCTAATATACTTAGTTGATGTAACTCTTTAATTTCCTCTTCCTTTTGATTAGCCTTTATGTAGGCTTAAGCTATCCTCAAATCTGTGGCTCATGGCATTTAGTTATTACTTTAGCCTTTTATGGACGCTATGGAAAACCATGATATAATCTTCTAATGATTCAATCCTTTGTCTATGACCTGGACCTAATTCCTTCTTTTAACTTATACCGGAGTCTTCTATGGCTGATCATTAATTAAATAATTCCTTTCATTCCATTTCAGCTTTCTTCAATCGTAAGCAATTGCTTTTCCTAGTCTTTTTCCCCCCTTTTGCGTGCATACTTAGCTTATCTGAGTTCTCACGCATGCTGAAGTTTTTGTGCAACTCATATGGTCTCGAATATTACTTTTGATTTTACTCCCCGCTCATTAGCCATGGTAGGTGCAACTTTTTTTGGAGTGCATACAATTTTGTAGTCAGACTGTTGTTACACAACCATTTCCTTTTTAGGTCACTGTGCTTTGGTTGAAGCCTTCTTCCTTATTTCTTCAACTAGTCTTTCATTGTTGTACTTAGGGGGGATCCTCTAACTCTTGTAAGGCTGCGAGCTTATCACATTGTATGCCTGACAAATTTTTTGATGTTCTTCCTCGCATATAATTACCCGTAGTTACTTATCTCCACGCCCTTGTGCTTGAAGGGTTACTTCTGAACTAATATTTTGACTGTCTTCACAGTGAGTGACACTCTCTTTTATTTCTATAACACTCATACGGTACCTTTTTAACTTCCCCAAATCCTATTTGGATATATTTCAAGGATCATGATGTCATAACTGCGAGGCTGGATTCCCTATATTGGGGTTCCCTATGTTTATCTTGCACGATCTGTTGATTTGCCTGTATCCTCTTATCTAGCCATAGTTAGGCTCTTCCTGAATCAACTACTAACTACTTGTTGGCCCATTCCCGTATCAATATTCTGCGTAATCTTTCTGGGGTCATTTCCTTTGTTTTAATTTACCTCTCGCACTAGCTCCTTATTAATCAATAACATCTCGGGCAGGAACCCTTACTTTCTCTCTTTGACGTCGTGTTTGCATAATGCTATGGTATCATAGCATATCTATAGGCTTTAAATAAGTGCAATCTCATCCCTTTTTCATTTTATTGCATTCTTTCTTTACCGTTCCATAATTACTAGAACTACTCAATTCTTCTTAATGCCACGTCACTCCACATTCCTCCTTTAGGGAAGTACTAATATTTAGCGCTACAACGATCTACCTATAGATGTTTTACCTCTTCATCATTGGTGTTTTCTCACATTGTCGATGAACCTTACTCGCCTTTCGATAATCCTTTTATACCAAAGACAACAAAATTCCTTACTCGTGATGGTGACACTTAGTGTAACTGGCACACATAGTCTCTTAAGCTTAATTTTGCTCCCATTGCTTGCTTTAGGGAAGCGTCTTCTTGAATGACCATTCTCTGAATTTCTCATGAATTTTCTTCCGATGTCCATTATATTATCGTCGGAATGAAATCTGAAACTCTCATGATGCCAAGTATTATCCAATCACTCAGTCCCTAATTCACATTTAGTTTATCTTGTTCACCAGCCCATACTGATTTCTATTATTCTGGGGCTAACTTTTCCTTTCGGCTGTTGCGTTGAAGTCACGAACTTATTTCTCGAAGTGAGGATATGACTTCATGTCCTATACTCTTTTGTTGTCTCAAGGCCTGTCACCTCTCGTCTTTTCCTTCACTTGACTATAGACTCTGTAATACTATTATGTTTTTGACCTACCATTGTCGTCCATGTATCACATCTTACTCTTAATGCTTCATTAGCTCTCTTCTTATATCTTGCTAACATTTCTATCTATCACTTTATTCTGAAAACTTCAACAAGATATTCTTTTGCTTTTAGCTCCCCTTTGCTCCATCTGCTGGCTCGTTGGGTTGCCTAACATTTTCTCTCTACAAGGGACAGGAGTCATACTAAGATAATATTTATCCTTTCCAGGGTTCCAATGCCTATCTTTGTAGCACTCATATCTAGTTGTAATATTTTAGAGTGCACCATCTAGGTGTCTCACAAGGAGATCCATTACCACGTTTGCACTATCCTTCGAAAATGTCAACTAAATCTGCCAATCTAACCCCTATTTTGGGTTACTCTAACCCTAGTCGGATCTTGATAACCCGCCCTTATCTTAAACTATATCTTTTAGCTCCCATAGGGCATAACTGAGATCAGTGTGGCTGATTGTACGTACATCTGTCACTGTTGAAGGTAACTCAAAATGCTTATATCTCCCTTCCTGAATGGTAAATAATGATTATCTTTATTAACTAGGTACCTCGTACCCTTTTTCGCCTTGCTTCTTTTACTTGCTGAAACTTGTGTCTTCCTTCTGATTCTGTTATTCCTTTTTACTGTAAGAGTGGATAAGTATTCTTGCCTTAGGGATCCTTAGGAAGGAGCTTACACATCTTAGAATACACATGATCTGATAAATACCTCATATTTATCCATCATAAGCATGATGCAAAAATTAAGTTCCTCTGACTCAATTCTTCCACAGCTATATCTCTTACCAACCGTCTTTCTGGATGTAGGCATCGTTGTATTATGAATAAGATAGAGTTTAAGAAATTGAGTTCTTACAACTGAGCTCTACCACACGATCTAGAGTAAGAAGAAAGAGTGACAGTCCTAAATGCCCTTTTAGCTTCTTGCTTATAAGTGTGGTGCACGACACACTCATAAACAAGACTCTACTAAACACGGCTTGTAAACTCCCTGGGAATGAACTGCTCTGATACCACTTTTGTCACGGCCCAAACCTATAGGCCGCAATGAGCACCCGGTACCTTACTCAACTGAGTACCAACATAACATATCTTTCTTATTGTACTTTCGTTAGCAAATGGACCAAACGGGTCGTCATGGGCTAACCAGAAAAAACATAGAGGAATACTCAATATAGGACGACCCAACCTGATATAAAACTTATACATATGATATACGGGCCTATAAGGCCAATATGATCATTTGTATACTCAAAACATAGTCCGGCAAGGCCATACAAGCATTCATATACATGACATATATCTACAAGACTCTAAGAGTACACACTTAACATAAAGGTCGGGACAAGGGCCCGCCATAACAAACAATACACATCTATTTATCGGGACCTGGTATGAAACGCAGTGTCCCCAGGCAAAAGGGACGTCAGTACGAATAATGTACTGAGTATGTAAGGCACATAAATAAATACATAACAGACATGGAAGAAATATAGAGTAAATAACTCAACGTGTAAGTCTGGATAACTCTGTAAATCATGAATTAATTATAGTGTCATGCATATGCGTATGAAGGTCATGTCGTGCATAGGTACATATTTCATAACATCATCAGGCCTCTGAAGGCATCCCATCATATCATTGTCACACCTCTTTTTTCTACCATCGGAAGGGGGTATAGGGGAGTTTTTTCCAATTTAAGTGACAATCGAAATGAGATTATTTATTTTATTTGTCAGAGTCACCATTTGGGATAATTAATGGTGTCCCAAGTCACCGGTTAAAATCCCGAATTGAGGAGGACTGACTCTATTTTACAGTCCACGAAACACAAAAATTTGGGTAAGGAATTCTGTTAACCTGGGAGAAGGTGTTAGGCATTTTCGAGTTCCGTGGTTTTAGCACGGTCGCTCAACTATTATTATTGGCCTATTTATCTGATTTTAAAATATTTTTTGAAACCTATGTGCATTTATTCCTTTTAAACCGCTTTTAATAATCCAATGGTTATACAACTAATTATTTGATTACACATTGCGAATCATGTCACAGAAACTGTACCCACGATCCACAATATGTTTATTTTTATTAACAAGATTAAATTGTGGCCGGGTCACATAAATGTACCCCCGAATTTTAGAGATTAAGCATCATAACTACGTCACGGGAACCATACTCGTAGCCATGGTAATTTATTTAGTTTAACGCGCCTAAAGCAAACTACGAGAGTTCAAGACATTTTCTACACTAGTTAAGATATCGATGTGAGGGCCATAGACTAGGTGACTGGATGACATACCTCAATTTATTAAAGGAAAAGCATCCAACTAAATGAACTACAGATATTCATATTTAAAACTAATTGAACTAGGTATCACAACCACGCCATGGGAACCATACCCGTAGTTGTGATGATTTAGTTACGTAATTAAAGCAAACTACGAGATTCATATTGAAACATAGATTCAAGATAAAATGATAAAGTCTACGGGTTATGGATTTATTTGGGAAAGATAATTTATAATCATTTTTAAAGTACGATAATTCCTGGATTTCAAAAAGCAATACACTCAAAACAACGCCTCAATAGAAATTGTAGTACGAAATGAATGTGATAATAAACCCATTTAAACGAGTTCGACTAGAGTACATGGTCTAATGAATTGGCTGAATAGAAATCAAGGTGGCTTAACATGATACAAAACAATAACAACTATGAAATGGGCCAAAGGCTTGTGAGTCAGATGGACTTAAGTGGATGAAATCCAAAGTCCAAATGGCCCGTAGAAAATTGGATGGGCCTGTATGACTCCCTTGTGAGGTCCTTTTACAATATTTGGCTCAATTTGAGCATCAAAAGGCGTTATTACAAATTTGAAATTTTTGACAACACAAAAAAAGCTTTGCAAATCACACTCCAAACTTTAATTACAGCTAAACATAACATTGAATTAAAATTGCTAACTATAGATTTAGAAACGTAGAGACTCAGCTTTTAATTTTAAGGGATTTGGACTTAGTCTACCTAAATCCAAACTTATTAAAAGAACATTTGATAGATTGACTAAGAAAACGTGTCAGGCACAATCATTCATTTACAACAAAAAAAGGGCTGGGTTCTGATGATTGCTCATGTATGGATTCAAGGATAATTTCAACTGAAACATCTATTTATTTACCATCAAATCTGATAGATTCAGCTAACAACCAAACTTAAACATAGCCAAATTCAACATCTAACAACTGAAATCACAACTTAACAGCTCAAAGATTCAGCATTACATGAAAGCCTATACACTAAATACATGTCCATATCCACTAATATGCAAAACAACACATTGACTGACAAAAAAGGAGGCACAAGTTAATCAGCTCATGAAACACCATTTACTGAAGAAAAACACTGATTAGTGCATCAGCCTCAACACACATACATCTTCAGATTCATTTTCAATCCAAGGATTCAAAAGGGGTACCTAGATTCAGCAAACAAAAGGCACATATATTCGAAAATCAGCTAATGGCAGCTAGAAAGCAACAGGTTCAGTAGCAAAGAAAACAGCAATAACAATCCACACACAGCTTCTATATCAAACCATGCTTCAGCTTCAGAAACCAGCAAACCCAGAAGACAACAAATCATTAACAAATGAAATTAAACTAATTGTTAATCTATTATGAACTAAAAATAGTTTTAGGCATAAACTTGATATCAGGAGGGGTCATGGAAAGAGGAAGAAAAGTATACCGGCCAGTTTGCTAAAAATTCCGATGACCCGAAGAAAACCAAAAGCGAGTTGATTACAAATCCGGCGAATAGAGGCCTTGGCTAATTATGGAAATTGTAACATGATCATTGGCCGGAATTTCTTCAACGGCTAGTGCTTCATGTTACAATCCTCAACATACGCCAAGAGGACGATGAAGTAGAAGCTCTAAATATTTTGGGCCATTGATGGTTGCTCGCCCAGAATCCGGCCACCATGAACCCAGTTGGGACCATATCCAATCGACTCCTCACAGTAAGGATAGTCGATTCATGCATGCTCCAACGTCAAGAAGAGGCCAGATGAGGAAGGAATTAGAAAAGGAAAAAAAATGTTAGACTTTCTTTAATCTCAGATTTGAAATTCGGAGAGGTTGGTAATTTTTTGAGGAAGATAATGGTGGATTTGGAATGGGGGGACAATGGAGGTTGTGTGGGCAAGATTTGATGGAGTTTGGAGACCAACCGCCGCCGCTGACGATTTTCGGTGGGTGGCGAACGGCGATGAGGTATAAGGGTTAAAGGAGATGATGGACAGTGGTCCTAGGTTGTCTCTGAGGGTGTTCGGACATTTTTAAGAAAATGGAGTGAGGCTTTCATGGCCGTTGGATGAGAGAAGCTGAAGGACCAGGATTAATTTCAGTTGTTTGAACTCAATACGACGTAGTGTTGCCTTCATACTACGTCGTTTTAGGTGTCTCAGAGACTGAAGGATTTGAACCGTGTAAATGGGCTGGACCATGTAAATTAATCATTTGGGCTTGGGTTTGGGAAAAATCCGGGTGCAACTGGCCCAATTTCAACACTTAATATTAGCCCTCTTTTTATTTTAATCCTTTTTCTTTTGCTTTTCTTTTCTTTTTTTAATTAATAAAAATCCTAAATTAAACCCTAAATTAATCTAATCCTAAATTAAACCCTAAATTAATCTAAGTTATAAAATTAAATTAATTATCAAATTATAAAAATATATAAAGATTAATTGATCCTAAATTAAAAGAGAAAATTAATAATCCAAAATTAAAAGCTAAGAATGCGAAAATGAGCCATTTTTTGTGATTTTCATTTTTAGTAAAATAATTAATTAAATAATTAATCCTAAAAATATGGAAATAAAATCTAAATGCAATGCATGGTATCTTTTGGTATTTTTCATGATTTTAATAAAAGTAAACATGTAAAAAAATGTAAACAATTAACAAAAATTCCTACAAAAATCATATAAAATTGCAAGCAATTGGGAAAAATTCATTTCTTTAATTTGTAAGAGTATTTCACATAGGGCAAAAATCACATGCTCACAATCATCTCGGCCACTGTGGGCAAAATCATCAACATATACCAGCTGATCAGGTAGTAGTGCGTATATAACGCCATAACCTTTTCCATATCCCATATATATATATATATATATATATATATATATGTGTGTGTGTGTGTGTGTGTGTGTATACATACATATACGCGTATATAACGCCATCTGGTCATAGGTCAACGTGCATGTATAAATATATGAAATGCATATAAAATACGTTAATAAAATCTCTCGGTATGTCATAAGACCATTATGCCTCTGATTAATATTATGAAATAAACTTTACCAACTTACGTATATCTGAGACCCATGAAAAGATGATAGAATAATATAACACATGGGGAATCAAGAACATAAGCATCACTAGTATTTATATGAATAGAGTCATTTATGGAAGTTGTGCATTTGCTCTTTTTGTTCATGTCGTATAGATCATGCCAAAAAGAAAAAAGGGATAGCCTTAATATACCTGAACCGATTCTATTGACAGTCCCTTTAACACACGTTGATTACAATAACACAAAACGACGGATCGTATTAGGGGAAAATCCATATGATATTCTTGAGAAAGATTGCACCGTACTCCCTTAGAATCGCAAAATCCCGTTGCTATTACACAGTATCATTTCGTATGAATTTCTTCACAATTTTAAGAAGTTCCATTACTATTTTAACATAATGTCCCATATGAACTCCAAAATCTCCTCCAAAAATGGATTTTTGATATCAGTTGAACACAATTGTAAAGATGACTAACATAGTCATACTTTCCACGTTTTTGAGGGCTAAGTGCATAGTCCATGTGTATGACACTTAAATGGCCACCTTTAATTCTAAGTTATGAGTCATTTTAATTTGAATATGGGCTGCCACCTCATGCCCTTAATCTTTATCCAATATAATTTCTTAATTAATTGGGTAATATCCCATTATCTAATAATTAACCAATCACCCACATAATTGAGAATCATTTCAAATTACTTAAAATACTGCTCACTTTTAACATACATTGTACACCTCACTATCATGGTCATGTAGTACCTTGTATGACACTAGTCCATAAATACTGGGTATTATATCTCGTACCGTATTTTATCCCAAATTGCCAAGCTTCGACGAAATTTATTTTTTCGATTTGCTTACCCTCTCACCTTCACGAATTTACTTATCCCTTGTTTGAAATAGCATAATACTTGTAACCTCAAAATAATCTCATTCCCGAGCTTGCGTCGATTAAATTTTTGATGAAACCTTAACGTCCGAAAATGCGGGATGTAACATCTCATTCCCGAGCTTTCATCAATTCACTTATATGGAATACTTTCATGTACAAAAATATGGGGTGTAACATCGGGAGTTCCAGTTATTCCATCAGTGGAGACAGTTCAATCTATTATTATGATTAGGCTGGAGGTTAGACTTGGTATGTTTGTTAATGAGTAGAAGAGGATTGACATAAGTGTTATTGATATATATCATGTCTTGAAAATTGAGGTGTTGATGTCTTATTTGAACTCGTTATCTATAAAATATGCCTAAATTTTGTATGAACTATACTTCTTGAGTTTTTGTACTCATTCGTAGATAGTATGACTTACCATTTATATTATTATGCTTTTACCTGATATTTTGGACTGCTAGTGAGTGTCAATGTCGACCTCTCGCGACTACTTCTTCAAGACTAAACTTGATACTTACTGGTTATCATGATTTGTACTCATACTATACTTCTGCACATTTTTGAGGTTAGTATTAGTGGTGTACACCCGACTGAGTAGGAGATCTAGAGGAAACTTTGTGGTGAGCTGTTTTACTTGACTGATCCACAATATATGAAGTCTCTTTGCCATACTTATCCATTTAGTCTATCTATTTCCATCAGACAGACAGTGTTATTTAGTTACATTCTAACTATCATTAGATGTCTGTGCTAGTTGTGACATCAGGTTTTGGACCATGTAGACAGCCTTGGTCATGTTTTAGCATCTCTCATATATTTTTCATCTATGTTATAGGTTTGAGTTATATTTCCTTATTATCTTTTGATTATGTTAGATATTTGGCTAATCTTCTTTAAATTATAATATATTAAGTATTGGCTTGTATAGCTAGGACTAGGCGCCATACGACCTTTAGCAGGATTTTGGGTCTTGATAGGTGGAGTCCATGGATTTGATTTCACTGCTTAAGAGGGCCAATGAAGAGGTGGTGGTAGACATATGAGCAGAGAAGACCAGCAGAGTCAATCCCTCTCACTTGGACTCACTTTTCTACTCTCTTCTTGGAAAGGTTCATTTCACTCACTAGGAGAGATGAGTTGCATAGAAAGGTTGAGCACATGCAGCAGGATAATATCTCGGTAATCAGTATGAGATGGGTTTGTGGAGTTGTCTTGTTATGCAACTTTCTCGATTTCCATCGAGACTAAAAAGGTGATGAGCTTCAAAGAGGGTCTTAATTTTGTAATTAATCTTAGTATGGCTAGGGAGACAGAGATCAGGACTAACTTTATACAGGCCGTGGAGATAGCACAAAGGATTAATCGTATATGTGGTCAGGGGAGCAAGGGAACGATGGATAAGAGGTCTTGTCATTTAGGAGGATTTAATGGTACCTCGTCTGGAGGAAAGAGTCATTTTGGTAGAGGGTATGCTAGTAGGCCAATTCACTCAACGCTTCAAGTTTCTCATGGTGCTCCAGTTAGTCATAGTTCTCACAGTATTTGTTCAAGGTAGGCATTCTATAGTGCACCTCCATCTTATAGTTCTTACAATGATTATTCTTGTCATCAAGGACCGACTCAGTCTCAACAGCCATGCTAGCAGAGAGGTTAATTTGAATATTTGAGATTTTAGACATCTTAGGAGAGAATGCCCTAGGCTTCAAGATGGTATGTCTCAACAGGATACTCAAGCTATAGTTCCTTCCCTAGTTGCCACATCGTTCACCTAGCCAGCTAGCTAGAGGTGGAGGTGAGCTATCTAGAGGTCTTTCTATATGAGGAGGATAGATCGGTGGAAGACATGCTCATTATTATGCTTTCCCTAGTAGACCTAAGGCAGAGGCATCAAATACGATCATTACAAGTATTGTTTAGCCTGTCATAGAAATGCTTAGATATTATTTGATTTGGGTTATATTTACTCGTATGTGTCATCTTATTTTGTATCATATTTGGGTATATCTCGTAATTCTTTAAATACTCCTATTTATGTATCTACGCCTATTGGAGATCCTATTATGGTGGATCAAGTTTATCGATCTTGTGTAGTTATTATTAATAGGTATGATATGATGATTGATCTTTTGTTGTTAGACTTAATGGATTTTAAGTTGGTTCTTGGCATAGATTGGTTATATTTGTGTCATGCTATTTTTGATTGTCATGCCAAGACTATGAATTTATCGATGCCAGATTTACCTAGATTATAGTGGAGAAGGTCACTTAACTATTTTACAAGTAAAGTGATTTTATTTTGAAGGCTCAACGTATGGTTAAGAAGTAATGTCTAGCATATTTGGTATTTATTCGGGATTCTAGTATGGAGCTTCCTCGTATGGATTCGGTACCGATTGTGAGAGAATTTTTGGAGGTTTTTCTTACGAATTTGTTGTGTATGTCACCGGATATAATATTGATTTTGGAATTGATTTGGTTCCATACACTCAGCCCATATCTATTCTACAATATCACATGGCTCTAGCTGAGTCGAAGGAATTAAAGAAGCAGCTGCAGGATTTGATTGAAAATGCATTTATTAGACCTAGTGTTTCTCCTTGGGGTACACTGGTATTTTTTACAAAAAAGAAGGATGGTACAATGAGAATGTGCATTGATTATAGATAGTTAACAATGTTACTATCAAGAACAAGTATCCATTACCTCGTATTAATAATTGGTTTGACCAGCTTCAAGGTTCTAAGGTTTTCTCTAAGATTGACTTGAGGTCAGGTTATCATCGGGTGAAGGTTAGAGCTTTAGATATCCCTAAGACGGCTTTTAGGAATTGTTATGGTCATATGAGTTCTTCGTGATGTCATTTAATTTGACTAATGCTCCAGCGTCGTTCATGGATTTGATGAAAGGTTGTTCAAGTCATATTTAGACTCTTTTGTGATCGTATTCATTGATGAAATATTGGTTTACTCTCACAGTAGGGAGGAACATGAGCATCATTTGAGGATTGTAATTCAGAACTTGAAGGAGAAGAAACTTTATGCTAA